CCAGGACAGAAGTGCTGCTGGACCTTGTGCTCACTGACAAAGGAAGGTCTGGTTGAAGCAGTGAAGTTTGAGGGCCATCTTGGCTGCAGTGACCATGAGGTGGTAGAGTCCAGGATCTTGTGCAGTAGAAACAGAATACCAAGCAGGATTGCAACTCTGGACTTCAGCAGGGCCAACTTCGGCCTTTATAAGCAATCATTAGGAGAAACCCCATGGGACAGGGAACTGGAAGGTAAAGGGGCCGAAGAGAGTTGATCAGTATTCAAGGACCACTTCTTCCAGGCTCAGGATCAGTGCATCCCAACAGGTAGGAAATGAAGAAAGAAATCCAGGAGACCTGCAAGGTTAACCAGAGAACTGCTGGGCAAACTCAAGTGGAAGAGGAGAGTATATGAATCATGGAAGGAGGGGCTGGCCACTATACTAAGTGGAGTATAGGACTGCTGCCAGAAGATGTAGAGAGGCAATTAGATAAGCTAAGGCCTCGTTGGAATTAAACCTTGTGAGGGAGGTCAAGGACAACAGAAAGGGCATCTTCAAATACATTGCTGACAAAACTAACACTAGAGACAATGTAGGCCCTCTGGTGAACGAGGTGGATGCCCTGGAGGCAGAGGGTAGAAAGAAGACAGAGTTGCTGAACACACTATAACAGTTTTAACCATACAACTGCCCTCAGGTGTCTCCGTGCCCTGAGGCCCCAGATGAAGTCAGGATAAAGGAGGAGTTTGCCCTGGTTGAGGAGGACTGGGTTAGGGATTGGTTTGAACACTTGAACATTCATAAATCCATGGGCCCTGATGGGATGCACCCGCGGGTACTGAGGGAGCTGGCAGAACTCATTGCTAGGCCACTCTCCATCATCTTTGGTAAGTCATGGGGAACAGGTGAGGTGTCTGAAGACTGGAGGAAAGCAAATGTTACTTCAGTCTTCAAGAAGGGCAGGGAAGAGGACCTGGGTAACTACAGACCAGCCAGCCTCACTTCCATTCCTGGAAAGATGATGGAACATTTTCTTGGCACTGTTTCAGGCATACCAAGGATAAGAGGGTCATTAGGAGCAATCAGCATGGCTTTGCTAAGGGGAAGTCATGTTTGACCAACCTGATAGCCTTTTATGAAGACATAACCAGGTGGACGGATGATGATCATGCAGTGGATGTGGTCTATCTGGATATCAGCAAGGCATTTGACACCGTCTCCCACAGCATCCTCATAGGTAAACTGAGGAAGTGTGATCTGGATGACCGAGTAGTGAGGTGGGTCGTTAACTGGTTGAAGGGAAGAAGTCAAAGAGCTGTAGTCAATGAGACAGAGTCCAGTTGGAGGTCTGTGTCTAGTAGAGTCCCTCAGGGGTCAGTACTGGACAAGGGATTAGAGCGCACTGTCAGCAAATTTGCTGATGAGACAAAACTGGGAGGAGCAGTTGACACCCCAGAAGGCTGTCCTGCCATTCAGAGAGACTTAGACAGGCTAGAGGGCTGATTGGGGATAAATCTTATGAAATTCAGCAAGGACAAGTGTAGAATTTCGTGCCTGTGAAAGAATAACCCCATGTTCCAGTATATGTTGGGGACTGACCTGTTGGAGAGCCACATAAGAGAAAGGGACCTGGGGGTTCTGTGGACAGCAGGATGCACATGAACCAATGATGTGCCCTTGTGTCCAAGAAGGCCAATGGCATCCTGGGGTGTATTAGAAGGGGAGTAGCTAGTAGGTCGAGAGAGAACCCCCTCTCCTCTGCCCTGGTGAGGCCACATTTGGAATATTGTGTCCAGTTCTGGGCCCCTCAGCTCAGGAGAGACAGGGAACTGCTTGAGAGAGTCCAGCACAGAGCCAGAAAGATGATGAAGGGAGTGGAACATCTCCCTTATGAGGAGAGGCTGAAGGAGATGGGAGAAAAGGAGGCTGAAGGGTCACCACATTAATGTTTATAAATATGTCGAGGGGGAATGTCAGGAGGACAGAGCCAGCCTCTTTTCAGTGACGTCCAATGACAGGACAACGGGCAATGGGTTCAAGCTGGAACATAGGAGGTTCCACAGAAATATTAGAAAAACCTTTTTCACTGTAAGGGTGACAGAGCACTGGAACAGGCTGCCCAGAGAGGTTGTAGAGTCTCCTTTGGAGACATTGAAAACCTGCCTGGATGCATTCCTGTGTGACCTACTGTAGGTGATCCTACTCTGGCAGGGAGGTTAGACTAGATCTTTTGAGGTCCCTTCCAATCCCTAACATTCTGTGATTCTGTGATCTTAATAACAATGATTGTCAACAGATGGTACTCTATATCTTGATGTGTCTGAGAGTTGAGTTATGATTAGGAGACAGTCATCATTGGGGTTGCAAGGCATTAAGTTTGGAACAAAACTCTATCCAACTGTCAAAAAGAAAAAGCAAAAAGATTGTAATAAATGGAAATTAGAATTAGAACAAATAAAAACAATCCCCTTCATTTTACTTTAATAAAGCAAAATTATGACACAAAAAGAAGAGATGTTAAAATGGTAGTAAATTTTACTGGATTCTTGTTACAGATTGCTTGGGTTTATATATTTCCTAAACAAAAATATTTTTCTTCCCAACGAAGTATGAAGTATTAGTTGGCTTTCTGTTGTTTTGCTTTTGGGTTTTTTTTGAACACATATATATTCAAGTTGGTGACTGAGATGTTTCTTGTCAGGATCTTTACCACAGTTGTCAGTGATAAATGCCCTCTGTCCAAGACGTGTCTAGTGCTGCTTATAGAATTCTAATAACTGAAGTTATGACAAGGTAATTTGTTCAGATCACAATTTGAAATTTCATTGAATATAAAATTTCAATTCTGATATGTACAGGTAAATAAAAGAATTAAACTTCAGTAGTATCTGCAAGAGGCAGAACACAGACTGGTTACTTGCAGAAAAATTAAGGTAGATTTCTAATTATTAACTAATTCTATTATAGTTGTGTTTGAATGGATTTTTTTTAAAAAAGATTGAATTCATACTAATTTAAAAGTTTTCATCTAGTTTCTCAAAAACTCAGAAAAGCATACGGTAAATGAGTAAGCAAAATGAAGCATATCAGGACCAAATTCAATCAGATTGCCTTCTTTAATATTTAGAAATTTATTCTAAATTTCATCTCCTGAGTGAACTACTATTGTGAAACAAACCATAGTAACTTTTTGCAGAACATAGACATACCTTATTGGAAAGTACTTCTGATGGAACTTGAGTTGTTAAGCACTGTGACACACTTTACAAGAAAATACAGTTGTGTAACGTTTCTTTTGACTCTTCAGGAGAGCTGAGTGTGGTAGAACTATAAGTACTTTCTTTATACCGTAAGTACTCAACTATTCAGCAGCTGTTACTTCAAAGGTTAAAGTGATGGTATGTCAATACATTATGGAAATTCTTAGAACAAATTGTTTCCTAGGTTAAGAAAATAAACTGGAGGTATTGTATTTCTAATCCAAAAGGCATTACTGCAGGAAAGATGATAACAAACTTCAGAAAGCTCTACCGATTCAGAGAAGTGAGCTAATAGATGGAGAAATGTGAGAATTCTGTAATTCTCATGAAAATTCATATCATATGATTGCTCTCAAAAAGAAGTCACTGAGTTAACACTGTATGACAGCAAATTTCAGCAATTTTCTGTCCTAACTTCAAAATACTGATTCCTCTGTTGTCTTTATATGGAAAAATATCAAGAATAAAAAGTAATTACATATTTTCAGTTGTTGTATTTGCGCATCTGGTTGGTGGTTTTATGTGTATGCATGTATATTCTTTATTGGAGTAGAAATTCAGTGCTTTTTATATGTCTTATTTTAAGCTTGTTACAAATATTTTTACAAAAATCAATTTGCATATAATTCATGCTAGACTTTTAAATTGTAATATAGATAAAATCAGGTTAAAAATACAGTGTGATAGAAAGCTGGAAATTTAAGTTTGGATTTTAGCCTTACTCTATATACAGTTTTAAAACACTGAAGTTTCAGTTAAATTTAAGCTTCACTGGCTCCGAGTTTTCCCTTTTTTTGGATTGGTTGTTGGGGTATTTTGTGGTTTTGTTCTAAAAAAGAGAACTAAAATCATTATTTTAAAGTAAGTCTTGTCTAATTATGTAATTTCTTCCCTAAATGGTAATGGAAAAGATAGTTTTAATTTCTTGCTTAAATTTTGAGAAAGTTCAGTTTGAATAAATACTCCCCACTTTGAAAGAGATCTGTGTCGTAAGTTAGTGATAATCAACAGATATTTGTTCTTGAAGTGTGTGAAGGATTGTATCTAGAAACATAGAATCAATTTGAAACAGAATAAAAATGGAACTGCTTTTTAAATATGTAAGTCTATGTGAGTAAGAACATTTTCTTCTGAAGGTTACGTGCTGAACAAAACATTTAAGCAAAAGCAAAGCTTCAGTTGTAATAAAACAAAACTATGAAATTCATTGTAACTGGTGAAAAGTTGAAGAATCTCTTTTTTATGCCTTTCTGCATCAAACCGCAGATGAGGAATAAAAGTAAGAGGCTGTACATAAAGACAGACAATATCATCTTTGCAAGAACTACTAGGTCAGCAGGCTTTCTGTAGTTTTACAGAGAAAACTCTGATGAAAACATTTACTTCTTTGTAGTGAAGTGTCATGGGTTTGAGTGTGATAGTTTTTTTTGTAAAAAGGGGGGTAGACTCTTGAGAAATTTAAGAGGCAACCCCACTGTTCTCTTTATCTCTTTTTGGATTCATCTCATTTTGAGCTGTCCTGTCTTAAATGTTGAGGAGTTTTTCTGTTGGAGGAGGGAGAGGTGAGAGGAGAACAAAAGAACGTAGTCCTGGGAAGAAAGAGGGGGAGAAGAGTCCCTGAGGAGGAGAGGGAGAAGGCAGATGTGGTGGCTGAGATGGAAGGAAGGTGATTGCCTGCCAGCTGAGGGGACTGACGGTGGTGAGAATGTCCAGCAGAGCCCCATGCCAGAGGGGAGAGAGATCGAGCATCAGCGGAAGATGTGCCTGAAGCAATCCGTGGCCCTGAGGGCCTCACGAGCAGGAAGAGGATTGCCTCCTGTGAGGTGGACACCACACGGCTTGAAGGAGAGACTGGGAGGAGCCCTCTTTCTCAAGGAGGAGCTGTCATGGACAGTGAGAAGTGGCCGTATGGACTGCACATCCCACCCCCTCCGCCCCCTTTGCATGGATGGGGGAAGGAGATAACCAGGAAGATGGGAGTGGTGGTGGAGAGGAAAAGGGTATTTAAGACTGAGTCATATTTATTGATGTATTTCTCTTACGTACCTACTTTGTAAATGGTGGTGGTGAATTAATCTATGTTTTTCTCCTCAAGTCACTCTAGTTCTTTACCCATCATCTTAAATGGTAGATTATTATGATCCCTGTACTTAACCTCAAACCCTTGAGCCTTTTTAGTTGAAATAGTCTCCCTTCACATCAGTGTGGAAATAGGGGGTGGGAGGAGGAGTGAGCTAGAGACTGTCTGGTTCTTTGTCCCAGTCAGCTTGAACCACGACCAGAAGCTACAATAAAATGATCAAGCTGGTCTCTCTAAGTAGCCTCTTCTGTGATTATGTGAAAGGAAACAATGGTCCAAATCCTCTTTAGGGATGACTGGCCAAAATACACTTGTATATTACCCTACAACTTCATAAAATATGCACTGCATCTCTAAAAGTAAGTAAAAGTAAGCATGTGTAGGCCTAGTATTTCTCTTGCATCGACCTACGCAACTAACTTCCAAGATTATTCAGGAGGATGGGGCCAGACTCTCCTCAGTGATGTCAGTGACAGAACGAGGGGCAAGCCATGTGTTCATGTGCAGTGACTTTGACATCCTAATCAGCTGAAATGATAGGAGAATACTACTTCCATTTTGTAGAGAGCTGTGGCACAGTGTGGTTGCAGAGCCTAAGAAGCTGCTATTGGTAAAGCTGTCTTTTATATGGGTCACATTAGGTAAGTGAGAAATATCTGTTATAAACCATAAATGAAGGCTGACCGAGATTTTTCTGAAAGGTCTTAGCAGCATTTTCATCATAAGGAGTAGCTTTCAAACAAGTTGGTAAAGCACTACAACAATTATCCTGGGCTCTAACAAACACAAACCCAACACACTGGAAACAAACAGACTGTCACAGCTGGGACTGTAATTCAGTCAGGGTGGTCTGTAGAATGAGCAGGTACACATTGAGAGCAAATTAAAGCTGTTATCTTACAGACACGATACAAACAGTCCCATGAAGAGGATAGGCTTTAAAACCATTCTTGACTGTAGAATAATCCCCGTGCCTAAATTTACAGTTGGATAGGCTTGCTCTGGGTCACGTGTACTTTCAGAAATGTCCAAAGGTGGAGATTTTGCAGCCTCTTAGAGCACATGATGCAATGTAACTACTCTGTCATGGTGAAATTCTCTTTCTTGATATCCCTTTCCCAGATAAGGGAAGACAAGATCAGGATGGATGGAACTTTGAGCAATCTAGTCTAGTGGAAGTTGTCTGGGTGCAAGGCAGAGGGGTTGGAACTACATGATTTTTAAAGTCCCTTTCAATCCTGAACATTGTATGATTCTATGATAATCATCTTCTGGAGATGGGTTATAAGAGACTTTAACATCCTTCTTAGTTTATGAATGAAGTTTTTCTATAGTCAAACTTGTGGCAATAGCAGCCTCTCAGATGACTTTGTATTAGGCAGCATTTATGTTGTATATTAAAAAGAATGGTACCAATGTTTTTCTCTTCTGGAAAAGTGTAAAAATAGTTTATAAACATGTAAAATATAAGTGCTTTTGTGAGTGTTATGCTAATTTCAGAAGTTTGTTCTATGCAATGGGAAATGTATTAAAAAAATGCTGTAGAAATTATGTTGTCTGTGTTGTTTTTTCTCTCCTGGAATAATTGCGGGGAGACAATACATTAGTTCAGCATTCCTTAAGTTTTAGATCTGAAGCGCATTACCAAAGTGCATTAAAATATCTTTATTTGCTGTGTTTGAACTTCCTTTAACACTTTTTCCATGAGATGCATTTTGAGTTAAAAATAGGTATAACAACAATATAACAATATAACAATAATACAATTCTTTCCATCATCATGTGATGAATAATTTTTTTTCTCTAAATTTATACTACTTGGTATAATCCGTCATGTGGAAATCTTAGTGCAACCAGTGCAAAAATTGTCCATATTTAGTAAGTAAATATTTTTTAATATTCTAATGAACATAAACATCTTTACTATCTCATTGAGGTGAAAACCTATACTCAATTCTTCATCTATCATTAAAGTGAGAGACATTTTCCCGGGCCTCAAGGGAAAAAAAAGAATTGTCAGTGTGACTTTTTTGTTAATATTCCTTTTTTTTTAAATAAGTCAGACATTTAGTGGCTCATCGAAGATACTGTGACAAATCCAGGATATAACAAATATTATTAAGAAATAAACTGCTTTATTACATTGCACATCTCTAACATAGAAATATTTCTTTAGAGATTCAGAATTGCAGAAAGAAAATTGTCTGACAAAAATAATTTACAGGGGATAAAATCTGCATATTGTATCTAGGTCCGAGCAGTATAGTATCTAAGGAATAGGATTTGTCTTTTTTCCCCCTGCAAACTGTATTTCTGAGGATGCCAGAGCCAGAAAATTTATCTAGGGGATGTGAAGATACTTGTTTTCCTGGCTCAGTCTTCTGGAGTTCAACTAGATGAATTAAAATATGTTGAAGTTAAGGGCTCTCTTCCCTTCCCACCACCTGCGGCCTGCATCCATCCATTCAGATGGAAAGGTCTCATCACTGAAGCTCCAGAATGGCTAAAGAATAAACATGTTTCCTTAATAAATATTTCTGCATTAGACCTCTGAAAAGCAATCACATCGGGTTCAACTCAAATAAAAATATATGTCCTCAAGCTCTGTGCCTCTGTCAGGTAAAGACAAATCAGTTATATATAGTTGGTTTTGTTTATTTTTGTCACTTCACTGGATGTTTTCAGATAGCTACATAACAGGCAGTGGATTTTAGAAGAAGAAAATAAAAAAAATAGATTGGTTTTGATTCATAAATTTTGTCTACTTCCTCAATTTAACTTTTGTCATAGGAGTCCTTCTCTTCTAGATGCGAGTCTCGCTAGGATAGTGAGACGCAATTAGGAGCTTCTTCTCTCTTTAACTTATAAAATGGTGATGGGGCTGTACATAGTGGTCCAGTCACCATAATAATGTGTATACCATTAAATACACCAAAATAATAAACTCCAGTCTCATACATGTAAATTGCACATTCCTGAAATGGAATTTTTTGTTTTGCAAAACAAAACAAGTGCCTAAGCAGTTTCTGTGAGGTAAATAATTGCTCTTCATTAAAACTTGTATCTTCTTCATAGCATCTAAAATGAGAAATGAAACACAGCTTTCTCTGTTCCTCAGTGTATTGCTCTACCATTGAATTCACTGCTAAAGTTAAGTAGTAGCTAAATGTAAATATATGTTTGTTTAGATGTATGATATTTTGCTAGTTCACATTTACATAATGTCATCAAACAACTTCTGAAATATTATCTTATTAAAACAAAAACTTACTGTTTTTCTATTCAATTTAAAACATACAGCAACTGATAGAAGAAAATATAAGACATATATTGTGCTTTGGTTTAGAATAAGTAGTGACTGTAACAACTATATGTAGGATATTTGCTGTAGCAATTTCTGGTTTATAGAAGAACTGATGATGGAAAGAATAAATTAGATTTTGTCAAAAAGATCCTTTCTCTTTCTCTAGCAATCCCAGCTTTTCTTGATCAAATAAGTTTTGTATGTCCAGTAACTTAAAACAGGGATCCTATCACCACCTTTTATTTATCAAAAACAAAGAACTAACATCAATGTGTTTCAATTGCTCACTTAATGCTATTAATGCACCTCACAATAAAGAACTATTTAGTAGAAACAAAAGAACCAGCCTTGCCATAGATAACCTTTTTATTGGAAATAGCAAGAAAGAGAAAGGAAATCGATAGAGAAAGAACTATTACCACCCTTGGATCTCACAATGACCATGGCACATGCAGCAGCCTTCTTGTGGTGGGTGAAAGCACACCTAACTCCTGGGATTATCACCTTTTATGCTGTCAAGTTCCTGCCACATCATGTTGTTTATCCCCTTGTGGGAAATTACTGAGAATGGATCTGGGCAATGATGGGCGGTCATTCCTCCCTCTCCCGGTTTGACTTCTTCAGTTTTGCAGCCACAGCTCCAAGCCCTGCCTGCCCCACACCACTGGTACATGGATTGGGCAGTGGGCTCAGAAAAGTGCTGCGTCAGCTCTGCACCATGATGGACAGGTGCCAGGCGGGCAGCTCCGGCCAGTTTAGTTGCAGAAAAAGCCCGCAGTCTGAGACATTTGTTCAGCAGTCCCTTACAGTTTCCATACACAACATTTTTTTTACAGAATGTATCTAGAAGCGCAATAATTTTTTGGCCCTAATCTGAAGACCGGACAAGGAAATGACATGGATCAAACAGATGCCTTATCTCATAAAGCAACTCTATTGGTATTATTATAAGTCAACACTCTTTTCTTTTGCATTTTTTTTCAATTTATTTTTAAACAATGGGAAATCAAATTCAAATTAATCATGTGTTGTGTATTTTCTTTTCAGGGGATAAATGTAAACCTATTGAATACCAGAAAGTGAAAAATATGTTACAGGATCTACAAAATCGGAGCTACATTGCAGAATCAAAAGATAAAGCTGTTGTTGAGAAAATGGCTTTAAAGAAACTTCTTGTAGATCAAATGTTTAGTTATTTTGATTCAGACAACAATGGACTTGTGGACATTAATGAATTATCTCAGGTAAGATTTCCATTTTGGTTCCATTATTACAGTATCTATTCAATTGTCTTTGTCAGGACTTATACACATAGAATATTATGTTTTAGGATACTTTGACATTAGAAAATATGTGAGTCTCTCAGGTGGAAAACTTCAATCAAGAATTTGGAAAAGCTCATTTATTTATAAATTCTACAGTGATTATTCAGAAATTTGAATACAATGCTTTGGGATATAGCTTACAGGGTTGGAACATTATAGGTTGCTTTTACCATAAGTTGTTCTATGATTCACAGCATGCTGTCATAAATTCCAACAGTTGGGATTTGTTTTGAAGCTGAAAACAATTAAAATAATATTTTTAATCACTTCTGCAATACTAAACAAGTCTTATTTCTTTATACACATTAGGGCTAGAGAAGTCCAGAAGTAGTCTTGAAAAGAGAGTTCAAGCTGCTGTCTAAACAGGAAGCTTTAATCATAGAACTCAACCAGTAATTGTTGTTCTGGTAGGCATAACAGCACTACCTAGAAGGGTTAACACTATTAAAGAGTTTTGATTTGGCAAATATACTTAGATTTACTAGATTATGTCCATGTATGAGAAACCTAATTATGGCTGAGCTATATTAATGAGACTAACACTAAGCAGACACTTAAAAATTCAAGAAAAGTAAGATTTATTAGATACCATTGTTGATCATTATCCCATGTTTTAAGTTGTATGGCAATGTTAAGAAATGTAAATTTACAAGTGAATATAGAATACCTAAGGTGATAGGCTGGAGTTATCATTTCCATATTTCTAGAAGTTAACTTCTAAAATTTTAGTGGCAATTTTGAAGAGCAAAGACTGCATGCAAATATAGGTATCATTTGAAATAGTAATAAATTACCTGTTTCAAAAAAAATATTACTTTTCTGTACTTTGTAAGATTGAGTTTTCCTGCTGTTTTACAGACTCACTCAGAACTTCAGCTTTCAAGGGAACTTGGTACCGGTATATATTTTATAAATAACACTTTTCATATTAATATACTGGATGAATACATAACTTATATAGGAGTCACAGATATAGATGTACAGATCATTTTTAATGCTTACAAATATATAACACTTGAAACAATGTGATATGAATAGTGTATTGGCAATCTAAAGAAACTGAATTTTAAAGTCACAGTTGAACCAACCTGTTGCTCTCAGAATTCATTCTTTAGTCAATTTGAACAGAAGAAAAAACAAGGAGACTATACCTGTTTCTCATGAAGCCTTCTTGATAGCAAAAGCTCCAGCTAAGAACCTTTGTGTCTTTCATTTGTCAAAGGAAAGCAATCGCCTTTGCAAAACACAGAGTAACATGTGGCTTTGCAGTTAAGAACCCAACTTCTGTATAAGCTCAATATTTATAAATCTTTGCCTTCATCTAATGGAGGAAGATTTTAGACCGCATATTTACTGAAAACAAACCAAGTAAGTGACAGTTCTCTCTGAAGAATCAAAACAAGATAATAAAGTATAAGAACTCCGAGTAGTATTTTCAAATTAAATGCACTGTTTTTCAGAGCCATTTTTTTTTCGGCAGTTGAAAACTTGACATTTTTTTTCCTTTTGTTGTTTAGCCCAATGAGTATTTTTTATACTTGTTGAACACAAAAGCTTGGTAAATCAAGACTGATTTGCAAGGTGGAATCAGACTCTTCCTCTGTTCTGCCCTAAGCGTATATGATAGTTATTGGTATTTCTGAAAATTTGAAACAAAAAGACTTCGTCTTGAATACACTATCTAGAAGGTATTGATTCATAATGTGAGAGGAGTCCCTACCACTGAGAGGATGCTGGACCCATTAACTTTCTTGAGAATGTACTTATTGAGGGGTAAGGAGTGGTGGAAGAAAGTTAGAAAGCGCTAATACACTCCCAGGGCTAAATGGGAGTGTATTGGGTTTGCATGGAAAGGTTTTGGTAGCTGTGGGAGGGCTGCAGGGATGACTTTGAAGAGCTACTAGAAGGTTCCCCCATGTCCAGCAGAGCCAATGCCTGTGCTCCAACAACAAACCCTCCTGAAGTTAATTTATGTTCACCTCAATATTGACCTACAATTTTTAGTGCACTTTAAATTTTACATGTCCTCAATCTTGCTGTGCAGTGGGTGTGATCAGGCTCTTGGAATGCATTTTATTATCTCATAAGTATCCATATAGTCATCCTACCTAATGTAAAGTTGAAATGAATCAATTGGAGATTGGAAATGGTGACAGCAATACTCCAATTTTTATTGATGTATTTTGGATCAGAAATCATAAAGTTCTTGCATTTGCATCTTGATGAAAGAGAAGCAAATATTCCTCTCCGGAAAAAAGCAAAAATAGTGCTTTTTATTTAAAAAGCTATTCCAAGTAGTGAGAAAGTTTTTTAAAAAAAGTATTTTGACTATTATATAAATTAATTAAAAATCAGCACTTTTTTTTATTATAACAGTTCTGGCATCTGGATTTTTTTTTTCATGGCTAGTAGAATTGCAGTTTGTGTAGAATTAGTTAAAAAATAATTATAACTGGTAACATGGTGTGAATGTCCAACAAGGTAGTCTATGATGAAGATAGAAAAGCAGTGGGATTTTGTACTTCAATGCAAGCGAAGTGAACAATTTTTTTTCCCATATTAATTCTTTCCTGACTTGACTGCTTTCACTACTGAGCCTAACTCACTTAAGTTCTAGTTTCTAAATCCTATATTGGCAAGTCAAATGTGGCTTGATTTTGAAAGGATTTACTGAAGAAGTTAATTTTTTAGACTACTCTTTTTTGAGAGGTAGGTATTAATCAGATTACCTACTTTTGCAAAAGAGTGGGCTATGAAATAGGCAGGAATTTCATCATCATCATCACCTCGGCTCTAACATAAATGCAACATATCTGCAAGATTTCCAGTCAAGTGTGTTGGTTTCTTGAGGGATTTGTTCTATTTTTTTTAAACCACTTTGAAAGTGTTTACATGGATCCAAAATAAAGGAATTCTTCTGATTAGCTATGAATATTCAGTCGTTAGCAGTCTCAGTTGTTTATCTGTTGTCTTTTGTCTTACACAAACTCAAACTGGAATGTAATATAAAATTATAGATGGAATGTCATTTCTGTTGTTTTAAACTGCTTGATTACTCTGTACTGTTGCTGTATAGATGAGAAAAAACATCTGAAGTGTTACGGGGAGATATGGGAATAAAATGAGTTTTATAACTCATTTATAATGCAGTTATTCCTGTAGGGTGGAATTGCCATTATAGACATAGTAAGCCTTTTCTGGTTACCATTGCTGAAAGATACATAAGCTCTAAGAATACTTCACCTTGCTCAACAGTGAAATTCAAGTTCTTTCTGTGTGTGGAAGTGAAATAATGTATACTTGATTAGACTTAGACCTGGTTTCCTTCTATTTAGTTCTTACACTTGTGAGCTAAGAAAGTAAAATTTTATAGAAAAGGGAAGTGACATAGTCTGAGAGCAAGTTGAAGTTATAATAATAAATTTTCCTCTTCCTTTCCTGCTATTTAAAGATATATTTTATGGAGTCAGAGAAAGAATTTAGTGTCTTTATTAATATCTGTGTTTTCAAATGCCTGCATATATTTCTGCTATTTACCAGGTTAACACAGGACAAATGAAAATACATTGTATTGTTATAAAAACTCATCCTTACTTCTTCATTTTATTTTGATAATTTCTCAGTGTCATTTAATTCCAGTTGGTGAGACCATACATAAACAATTAAGAATCAGCCAACCGAAGCAGTCGCTCTCAGGAAATGGTACTGTTTCAAGGAATGATTAATGAAAGTTATGGCAATTGCTATAAGATTAAATATGCTATCTTCACATATCAGATTAATATGCTACAGTTATAGGTGACATCAGAAATACAGTTTTCTCCTAAATATAGATTTCTCATAAAGTGTAATTAATCATTGAATGGTGTTACATACTCATGTGTGTTTGCAGACAAACACATGAATTGGAGTATGGGTGTGCATATGTAAAGATGCTATATAAAAAGCTATGTAAAGGTGCTATATAGCACCTTTACATAAAGCATCAACTAAAAAATTATAAGTAAAATGTACTAAAAAAGAAACAAATTTTAAGTAGGAAATTAAATACTATTGTCTTTGTGTCTTGTGTATGTTGTTCTCTGTATATCTTCAGTCCATGCCTGAAGTCAGAGAAGAAATATTTTTGAACAAGACCTTAGACACCAGATTGTGTGTGCACAACATATAAGAAACAGTTTCTGAGGCTGAGGCTACCTGGGATGTCCCTTTCTCTAGCCAGTTATCTTGATCAGGCCAAGCCAACCAGTTATGTTTCTTCAGTTACTTCTCTCTGGTTCAGTGATTCTTAAATTCTCTCCTGTGAAACAGTGTCCTTTGAAATACAGCCACAGGCTGTGAAAGAAGCTGGACCCAGCTTATTTTGAGTGATAGGTCCAAGGGCTGATGCTAACTGAAAGTGGACACAAAGTATAATGGTGCAGGATTTTGTTTGCACTTATGTCAGTGCTGTTTTCTGTTGATTACCTCCAAAACCACAGGCTCAAAGGGCTGGTGTTCTGGGTCTAATTGTGAGGTGCAGAATTTTACTCATGCCATCTATGTGGTCCTAATGCTATTCTGATCCTATACTGTGACATTAAACTTGTAGATATCTAAGGACACATTTACATCTTCTGAAACAGTTTAAGTCTTCCCTTTGTTAAGCGTGGAAGTGGAAAGCAGTGTAACTCGCATTGGAGTAGTTTGCAGAGAGAAACATCATATCTGAGCAGCACAACTCAGTGGTGTTGCTGACCTACCAAACATTCTGGTAAACAGTAAGAATACTGATTTAACTCTGTTAAGGGAAGTTAAAGCAAGGGACAGTTTATTAACCTTTACTATTAATTTGATTTTATAAATGATCAATTATTTAACTTTCCACAAACTTATACTGCTATGGAAGATGCAGTCAAAATTAACTTGGAGCAGGATTCCCACGCTGTTTGGTGTTTGAGGTACTCTAGATCAAACACTGGTTGATACTGTTGTGATGAGATACTTGCTTTTAGGAAAGATGAACAACATTAACTGAACCACCACATTCACTGTAAAGAAAGTTTTTGTTTGCAGTTGTATTTCTATAGCATGAGGAAGATCATGGAGACAATCAATCATAGGCAAGCAAAAAACCACTGCCTGACAAAATTTTTGTTAAGGTGGACTAATAGAGAGTTGATCTGACCCACAGATCACATTGCAGAGTTGGGAGATGGGTAGATTCAACACTAGAGGATTCTTCTTGAATAAAAATTGAAACAACTCTTTTTAGGAGCAGATCACAGGTAATTTATGTTAATCATTACACAATCACTTCTGTACGTTCTAAGATCTGTCCTCACAGACATATTTGGAGGATTTATCAAAACTAAGTGAATTTTATCACTAACATAGAGATGTCTCTGTATAAACAAATGTTGAATCTTATATCTGTAATCAAAATTAGGGGTTTACTGAAGATGAAAATAAAATAATTACCAGGAAAGTAAATCATATCTATCTGTAGCATAATTCTTGGAAATACCTCAGTCATTCTGGGTAATCTTTTTAAAATTATTAGTATTTTTATTTTAAATACAATTGACCAATTATTAATTAAAAGCATCCTAAACAGATTTTAACTCAAAGGGTCAAAGAAGATGAGAACATTATTGTGCAATTAAAAATGTGGTACTATGGTGTTAGATGTCGGTGGGCTTTAACAAATATTTTCATGCACCACCATAGATGTAAACTTTAGTCCTGATTTGTGCAACTGAAGCTGGAGGGAACAATCATATTAAACTATTTCAGATCACCCTTTGTGAAAAATAAGCAAAGGAAAAAAGCTTCTCACCCTAAATCTTCCTTTATTATAAGCCATCTGTAATTTTTATACATATTTTTTGGCCCTGAAATCACAGAATCACAGAATCAAAGAATCACAGAATGTTAGGAGTTGGAAGGGACCTCAAAAGACCATCTAGTCCAGCCCCCCTGCCAGAGCAGGATCACCTACAGTAGGTCACACAGGAACGCATCCAGGCGGGTTTTGAGTGTCTCCAGAGAAGGAGACTCCACAACCTCTCTGGGCAGGCAGCCTGTTCCAGTGCTCTGTCACCCTTACAGTGAAAAAGGTTTTCTAATATTTTTGTGGAACCTCTTATGTTCCAGCTTGTACCCATTGCCCCTTGTTGCCCCTTGCGCCCCTTGCCCTGCCATTGGACAACACTGAAAAGAGGCTGGCTTCATCCTCCTGACACTCACCCTTTACATACTTATAAATATTAATGAAGTCACCCCTCAGCCTCCTCTTCTCCAAGTTAAAGAGACCCATTTCCTTCAGCCTTTCCTCATAAGGGAGATGTTCCACTCCCTTCATCATCTTTCTGGCTCTGTGCTGGACTCTCTCCAGCAGTTCCCTGTCTCTCTTGAGCTGAGGGGCCCAGAACTGGACACAATATTCCAGAAGCGATCTCACCAGGGCAGAGGACAGACTAGAGGCAGGGAAGAACCTCTCTCAACCTACTAGCTACTCCCCTTCTAATTCCCCCAGGATGCCATTGGCCTTCTTGGACACAAGGGCACATTGCTGGCTCATGGTCATCCTGCTGTCCACTAGAACCCCCAGGTCCCTCCCTACACTGCTCTTCACCAGGTCGGTCCCCAGCCTATACTGGCACATGGGGTTATTCTTTCCCACGTGAAAACTCTACACTTGCCGTTTTTGAACTTCATCAGATTTCTCCCCGCCCAGCCCTCTAGCCTTTCTAGGTCTCTCTGAATGGCAGCACGGCCTTCTGATGTGTCAACCACTCCTCCTAGTTTTGCATCATCAGCAAACTTGCTGACAGTGCTCTCTAATCCCTTGTCCAGGGCACTGATGAATAGATTGAACAGCGCTGGCCCTAATACCAACCCCTGAGGGACTCTGCTAAATACAGGACTTCAACTAGACTCTGACCCATTGACTAGAACTTTCTGACTTCTTCTCTCCAACCGATTAGTGACTCACCTTACTACTTGGTCATCCAGACCACTCTTCTCCAGTTTAGCTATGAGGATGCTTTACTGAAATCCAGATAAACCACATCCACTGCATGGGCACCATCCATTCATCTAGTTATCTCTTCATAAAAAGCTATCAGGTTGGTCAAACGTGACTTCCTCTTGGCAAAGCCATGCTAACTGCTCCTAATGACCCTCTAATTCTTGATATGCCTAGAGGCAGTGCCAAGGAAATGTTGTTCCATCACCTTTCCAGGGGTGGAGGTGAGGCTGACAAGTCTGTAGTTACCCGGGTCCTCTTTCCTGCCCTTCTTGGAGACCGGAGTGACATTTGCTTTCCTCCAGTCTTCAGGCACCTCTCCTGTTGCCCATGACCTACCAAAGATGATGGAAAGTGGAGTAGCAATGACTTCAACCAGGTCCCTCAGTACTCGTGGTTGCATCCCGTCAGGGACCATGGATTTATGGACTTTCAGATTGCCTAACTGTTCCCTAACCCAGTCCTCATCAACCAGGGCAAACTCCCACTTTATCCTGACTTCCTCTAGAGCCTCAGGGGACTGAGGCTCCTGAGGGCAGTCTCCAACGGTATAGACAAAGAAGTCATTCAATAACTCTGCCTTCTCTGGATCCTCTGTCACCAGGGTACCCACCTCATTCACCAGTGGGCCTACGTTGCCTCTAGCGTTATTTTTGTCGGCAATGTATTTGAAGAAGCCCTTTCTGTTTGTCCTTGAACTCCCTTGCAACGTTTAATTCCAAGGAGCGCTTAGCTTTTCTTAGTTGCCTCCCTACATCCTCTGACAACATTCAGAGATCTCAGAGATTTTTTCCTAGAGTGAAGCTTTCAATGCACACCATTACATCTTTAGTACTACTTGTAATTCAGTTTAATGTGAACATAAAAATCAAGCTTTTAAAGCACTAGAACTAGTTAGTGCTAGTATTCAGGTAGCGTGGTATGTGTCTTTAACTAACAACAGCTAAAACTGTTTTTCAGACATTTTTCTTATCTCTGTGAATGGTTTTCATGCATTCTAATGTGCTAACTTTTACAATTCTTCTATATTAATATATAGAAGATTACTTTTACTAGGATAAAATGTTTGTGTCCTTTCTCTTTGCTCTAATGATCCTTCTATTCTCTATTACTTGTTCAGATATTTTGTATTTACATGATATTTACAGATATTTGTATTTACTACTTTTATTACAGATCTTAGGGAAGATAATAGGCTTAAGAAAATCCTGTAAGAAGTTTATGCAATTAATAGGGTAATAGAAGTTAGTTTTACGTGTTTTGAAAATACCCAAGTTTGAGGTTGTTTTTGTGGTAAAGAATTAGACTGAGAGGAAAAAAACTTAGGACAGGTGTACTTGGGAAATTATTATCTCAAGTATATTTGAATGTTTCTTAATCGCTATTCCTCTAATGTAATGTAAAATCAACTTTAACATTCACAGTTTCTTTATAGAGCTTATATCTATCCCCAGTATATATATATTCTCTATATAGGCTAGAAACTGTTGTGTAAATCTCAGTGAGTCTGTCCTAGAGGTATTAACTTTTAAAACTGCAATAAATAATTACAAAGTAACTGGAAATATCTGACTTTGCACAGTTGTAGTTCATTGCCCACTGCAACCTTAAATTTATCTATTAAATGATTATTAGAAACAATTAGTTATAAAAGAGAACTCTAAGAGCTCAAATGTAATTTCATGGTCATAATTTTCTTGTCAGGTAATAAAACGGGATGAGCTTGGCAAAGATCTGTCTGACTGCTCTCTGTTTGATTTGCTGAAATACGATGATTATAATAGTGACAAGCACCTAGCTCTGGAAGAATTCTATAGAGCTTTTCGTAAGTACAAAAATTAGCCTATTCTTTAAGTTTTGTTTTTTCTCTCTTGCTTTGGTTTTCTAAAATAGTATTTTTTTTATTTTTAAATTTGATACATCCTGATGCTGTGCTTAAACATTAGGTACAATTTAACAGTCACAATATAGTAGAGAACTGTTGAGCCGAAATCAGTAAGATCCATTAGAGTCCATATTTCTGAGTGATTTTAGTAGTGGAGAACTCAGATAATCTTTCATAATGCCAACATGCCTTGCTAAGTTTGTGTTGCACTTGAGTGGGTAGTGTATTCAAGACATAATCAATAGAACCAAAAAAGCTAGAATGTTTCCCCACACCCTGTATTTTTGAGTGCTGATACAACCATTTTTGACAAACTCAGAAACAAATGTACCACTTTTCTTAGGTGCCTTGTGTTTTAATAGGACTTGGAGAGAGGTGTAGATTTGTAGTGTAATTTTCTAGGTTTTTGTTCTCTGAATAACAAATGTGATTGGGGACAAATGTATACAGTACATATGAATATCTCAAACAAACACTGGGTTATGGGTCAACATCGTAGTGAATCAGAGAAGAAGATGTTGAGAACTTTCCTATGATACATTATGTGCAATATAAGATACATCCATATATTTTGTTATAACCAGATGAGAACTGGTGATTTTCATACTTATCTAACTCAAATCTTGAAAGTTGACATTGATTTCAATAGATGTTGCTCCACATTCAGCAACTTTGCAGCATAGCAAATCAAGTTTACACTTAGCTGTTCCTTTAAATATAGCTTTGTTATGCATTGACTAGTCCATTAATATATGTATGAATTGTTACAGCTTGTTGCTTTAGTCTTCCTGTACTTTATCTTTGGACAACTGGCAGTGCTCAGCCACTCTAGATGATGTCACATGAGAACAGATCCATAACTACTTATACAGTTTAAAACTAAAAAGTTATGAGTGGATATTAAGAAAATAATGGCTTTATGGAAAGCAATAACAATGAGCATGAAATTAATCAAGAAAGTCTTCCTGAAAGTTTTCTAGTTTTGCCCAGTGAATTCTACTTTTTTTCCCTGAAAGTCTTTCAGAAAGTGTGATATTGTGATAATGCTTAGCTGAACGAATAGCTTACTGCTCATAAAAAAAAAATTTAATCCTACTTCCTGGCATTATCAGACTGCCTTTCTTGCAGTGTCTTGACACTCATGATGTCTCCTCTGAGTCATTTACTAAATCAGCAGAAAAATATCCACCCTATATATCCCACCCTCAATCCTGCTTTTTTTTGCCACTTAGGTTATCTGAATCTAGTAAGTGAAGGATCAGACCATAACTCATGCAGAGGAAGTGAAAGGAGGGTATAGCTAAGAAAGTAGGGGGGAGATGGAGAGAATGAAAGGTGTTATGACTTTGTGGCAGTGAAATAAATTAATACATCTGTGTCAACAAAACAATAGGAAGCATTTTAATGTCTCTATTAAAAGTTGCAATACAAGTCTGACTTACTTACAGAATTGCATAGCATCTCTAGAAAGTTGTACATGTAGATCTTTTTTATGTGGAAATATATATATATATTTGGAATGTGGAAAATATATTGAAGCATGTTAGAATATATAGCAATCCAAGAAGGTTAAAGACAGGTTTAAAGCATTAGCATGCTGTTTGCAAACACTGAAACCATGTATTAATGCAAGCATAACACTGCTCTAAAGAAGACTTTAATGTGCCTTTGAGGGACTGCTTAGCATAGCTGTAAAACTGCAGACATAACAATGGCTTTTTGCTGTGTATTTTTAACAGACTTTTGAATAATTAAGATCATTTTAATATGGTAAGCATTGCCTTAATAAGAATGATAACAGAAACATTAGATTACATAAAGTTAGGAATTATTTAGGTTTCTTTGTTGCAATACAATAGTGGAGAAGACTCTAAAACTACAAGAGTGTCTTGGAAGATGATTCCTACAGCAAGATTCATTCTCCTATGTAGTGGTTTCTAACAAACTGGCTACATATCCATAACATTTTTTTAATAATGAAACCTAAAAAACCCTACTAGTCCTTTGTATGTTTTGTGCCCAGCAGGCCAAAGCAATGTGATGTACCATCCATCTCAGTAATTGAGGTAAACCACATACTCTTGAAATAAATTTAAGGATTAGCTCTAGTTTTGTTGTATTCAATCCCAAGAGAGTTTGAATTGAGTCATTCTGACCTACATCAATAGCATTAGCAAAAATTATGTAATGCTATAAAAGCATACTAAGCTGAGCAAACTCAAAAGAAATTAAATGATAGCCACCTGGTCATTTGACTACTACTTTTTTTGGCTAAACGAACTGACCCCAAGATGAAACCTGCCTCTCCAAGGAAGCCAGGCTAGCCTCAGTCAGAGCAAATGTGATGGCCCCAGTCCAGAGGCCTGTTGTTTGCTTAAGGCAAAGCCTGTGACCTGTTGCTAGAAATGACAAGTCTCGGTTTATCCTGATATGGAGAATTTGTGTAGACAGGATACCATATCCTTGTAAGGAAATATACACAAGAAGCATTCGCGTCACATCTTCCATGCACAAGTATCTCCTCATTGAAGCATCAATCTGTGATAAAATTAAACATACTAATTTTGTTTCTTAAAAGTGAAATAGAAATATTGGGGATATTTATTCCAAACAGAAATAAAATTGGGATTTTTTCCATATTTTCCACTAAGTATTATTTTTCACCAAGTATTATTTTTCACCAACTTGGATGCTTTCAAATATGTAGAACAAGTCAAAAGCAAAATATGAAGGATTTTTAAAAAAATACTTCCAGATCTAGTAATGAGTAAAAGATTGATGGTTGATTAGATTGACTAATAGTACTTGCAGGCAATCATGTTCTAAAGTATTGCAGTCTTATTTGTTATATGAACAATGAAAGAACATGTAACTGTTACTTTAAATAAATAATGCTAGTAGAATTTTTGACCACTCACACAGTCCTTTGTCCATTGAACTAGATAGTGGGTTTTTTTTTCTCTTTTATCTCCATCTTTTCCAACAACATTTAGAACTTAATCTGAATTTAATACCTCCTACTCCCAGTAGATCTACTTGTATGCCTAATAGCCATGGTGTGGTGGATTTGAGAACTTGTGAATTCCCCTCATTAAAGTTTGTCTGCCCAGCTGCTGAAACAAGAGTTACATTTTTTCAGTCAGAATGTCAATGGAGAAAATTTGGGTTTGCAATGCTGGAGAAATCTTTCCTATTCCAAACTGCTATGCAGAATTCAAAGGGATTAGTTTTGGGGGTTTTATTTTTTTTTATTTCTGTAACTTTAATGAATTCCTAGAAGTATGGAGAGGGAGTGGAAGAAAGGGCATAGAAGGGAAGCAGTTCTAATGCCTCATTTGTTAATCTTATGAGCACAAAAATGCTACGTTAGGTAGTAGATGTAGGAGAGGGGTGATGGGCCAAGAGCACTGTTTTTTGTACGTGGCAATGCCCCTAGAGAACCTAAAGCTTCCAGAATATAAAATCTACTGTAGATAACAGTAAATACTTCAAAGATTTATTGAATTTGGTGAAAATTAAAAAGCTCTCATTTTCTAAATGCAGTTGTTAATCAACATCCTCTAGTCAGCACAGGGTCATGCTCCACTGAAGAACCTTTGAAAAAAATGAGAAGGCTGGAAAAGAGGTGAGAGAAGGCATTAGGGCTATCTGTGTCATCAGCCTGAGCCTAAAAGTGAATAGCAATAATCAAGCATATAACTAGCATGCCGATTTCTAGCTGTGATTTGAAATTGTTTTTAAAAACACTTGGATAAAAGTTTGGACACAACTGGATAGGATTAAAAGTCACTGTGCTGTTCAACAACCTTCTCAAAGTGATTTCTTTTTAAAGGATTAGGCAATTAGATTTTATTTAAATAAGGGTACATATCTGTGGAGTTAATTATTAGTACTGTTTCATTAGTATTTGCATGTAGGATTCTTTTTCATTGGCATATCTAAATAGAAATTTGACTGTCATCTAAAGATTGTAGATGCAGAATCAGACATAACTATAGATTGCACTGCTTTATGAAGAGTTCCCCACAGATAATAGCAATTCTGTTTTTCTCTAGTGATAGAGAATAAACCACATTAGGTGCAAAGATTAATCATTGCCTGTTTTAAAGATATTAACATGCACATGTATACATATATATACATGCTTGCTTCTATTCTGTGAATTACTTATGACATTCTCATTTCATTGGACAAAATGAGTTAAAAATAAACATAACAACCAAATAATAGCTGCATGCTGCATGCAACCCTTCAGAAGGTCAGATGCTGAGACAGTAAGCAAAGAAAGAAAATGCTTGAGAATTGACTCTGTGCCTTGGAGGTTTGTGACAAGTCCAAGTTCACAGAATGTTACAGCCAGTTGAAGATACTTTTACTGGCTTCTGTAGTGTTTTATACTGGCAAGACTGATGTGATTTTCTGGGTACCATACCTCCACTCATACTGTGGAGGGGTTTCTTTTGGTGCTATGGCATCTAGCTTGATATCTGTCTACTAGATGCCATAACAGTTTAACTAGATCAATAGTGTGTGCAGAGAGGAGCCTGAAAAATTATTTTCACTAATATAAGAAGATAAAAGAGAAAGTTCAGATTTAGCTAGGTTTTCGGATGTTGAGACTGAAGGAGTCAGATGTATTGGTCCTCTACTGCTTTGACAACATCATGTAAAATTCCATCTCAAAAGTGATCCAGCTACATCTTAGTATTTTGGTTTGTTTTTCTTTATTTCCCTTCCCGTGTCAGCACCAAGCTAAAGCATTTTCTATCAGACAAAGTCTTTTTTAGATGGAAAAAAATGTGTTTAACCTTTTCTGAAAGAGTGGCTGAAAGCCCAAGGTGAGGGAGCCAAACAAAAGCTAGAAAAGTCGAGTACAAATTCTTGAAAACTTTATCTTCTATAAAATAAACTCGGTTGATGTGCTTCCTTTATTTTTCAAG